ATATCGAAAATTTTTTCTAAAGTATCTCAATCCAAAAGTAATATTGAAGAAACAATTACGAGCTGATTTGTCATTGTTCTCAAAATTCTGTTGTTCTATACTAACGACATAAAAATATTCTTATACTCAGTACTTCTCCCTTCGATATTTATTGTTATGTTGTGAGCAAAAAGGAGAGAAAAACAGCAAGCGATAATCAAGCAATTGAACGGAAATGAAATCGCATAACATAATTCTGAGTGTTATAATCTTTCAGGATTTCACTTGAGAAATGTGTGTTTGAGATCTGAGAAACTTCGGTTTCGTTCTGGAAAAAACAAATTATTTTTAGTAGAAGTTTTGAAAAAATAAAAAACTGTAGAATATGAGTTACTTCTTTTCTCTCGATCAAGCTCTGATCTGCAATGCAGATTGCTTATGTATGAATATGAACTGTATCAGCTGTCTTCACAAACCCGCATATATAAATATATATATTTATACATACGTAGGATAAAAAACAATAAATGGCGTACAAAATATTCGAATATAAAAAATGTAAAAGCAAAAGAAGAGCAAGGGACAACTATTCACTGAAATAACAACAAATAAAAGATTTGGTTATAAACTTCTAGAAAATTATGGTTATCTATTATGTTTGAGTAAGAATTATGGATCAATGTTTCACAACGAGAATTATTAGTACAAATTGATCTGCATGATGCTAAACTCTGATGATAGACGCAAACAAAAGAGATCAAATAAAAGTTGTTGAAAGAGAAGACTAAATGAAAGGAGGAAACATTTATGTAAATGCTAGTGGATGAATCTTTATGAACAGAGCGGAAGAGAGATTCATAACAGTGATATACAGTTACACATGTGGTATATATTCAGCCTGATTCCGATTCATTTACAACTTCCGTTTCTTCAAAAAATAGAGTTAACCATTTTTTTTCCAGACAATCTTCTAAACGTCTACACGAGTCTAATAGTACATGGCTTTTTTGAAACCAATCATGATAAATGACACCAGCACTACGCATACGATGACCAGCGTCTGGTACTAATAAACGAAATTTTAACAAATCTTTCACATCATCAGTTACTTTATTTAATATTTCATCTTGAAATAATTTTGGTATATTGTCCAATTGCGGTAATACTAAAACAAAATAAGATAATGTAGATAGAAGAGAAGTATAATATATGTTTAACTTACTATCCATATCTTCATGAAATGGAAAATATCCTGTTAAACTCACAAAAATAATCACACCAATTGCCCACATACTATGAAGTAAATAAAATAGAATAGAATAGAAGAACATTTTATAATTTATAGATACATACTCAACGGTTTTGTTATAGCCACGTGCATGTCGTAATTGATCGTGGATAACTTCGGGTGCTAAATAGGCGGTTGTGCCAACTTTTGTGTATCTTAATGAATGATCATGAATTGTTCGAGCATAACCAAAATCTCCAACTTTCAAATGAATAATATCATCATTATAAATATTAATTAAAACATTATCCGGTTTCAAATCACAATGACTAAAACAGAAATAATAAATTTATTCAAATAAAAGGAAGTGTTTGTATTAGTTTAATATTATCTATGATATGTTAGAGGATATAATCGAAGAAATATAAAAATGTGTTAACAGTATGTCAAATAATTAGTTCATTGAACTTTTTTTAAACTAAAATAATGTCGTATTATATCAATCTTTATTAACTTACGCTATATTTTTAAAATGTAAATAACGTATAGCTGCTACTAATTGAAATGCTAAAAATCTTGTTATATCTTCATTTAATCTTGCTTTTGGAGTTGGATTTGATAGAATAAAATTTAACATATCCGTATCAAGACGTTCCGTCACAAGAAATATATGTTTTTCAAATTCAAATATACCTTCAAATTTTAATATACCTAAATTAAGAGTAAAAACCGCAATAATAATCTTTGACTTTTTAGTTAATCTTTTTTTTTTACCAGGATGATTTAATTGAAATAAATATGACGCTTCTTGTTCAATATTTTCACGATCTTTTTGTGAACATTGTAATGTTTGAATTTTTTTTATAGCAACTGGAACGCCATTCTTCTTCATTATACCACCAAATACCATTCCAAATCTTCCCACACCCAATATTTCTTTTTCATTCATATCGTATAAATCGGCAAAATCTTTATTATGATCTGATGAACGTACCATTTTAAATGATGAACGAGCTTTTCGATCATGTTCAACAGATTGAGCAGCGGTATTTATTATATCAAGTAATAAATTGGCCAATTTTTCATAAACGTTTTTTTGTGCTGTTATACTATCACTTCTTGATTTACTAACTTCTCCGTTGGTTTGAGCGATATCAGACAGTTGTCGGGCACGATGTGCTAATAAAAGAAAAACGAAGAAAATTTTGGTTTATTACTTTTGAGTCTAAAGTAATAGTTGATAATTTATAAATTCTTACCTTCGACTTCTTCAGCTGATAATTCGATAACTTCTTTATTTCCATCTTGATCTTTTAAAGTAAATTGAAATTTTTTTCGATCATAAATAATTTCTGCTCGTTTACTGCGTCTTGATTCTCGTCCAAATTGTGCGTTTGCTGTCCATATACCGTCTTTTTCTTGACAGTTTGTTAATTTAATATCCTTTCTTCGATCTGTTTTAACAATATGAACTCCATTGTTATTTGTTTGAGCTGATGATGTTCGTGATCTAGAATTATTTGGCACTTTTGTTTGATTTTTTGTGGATGGTGTATCAGGTATATCCGAATTAACTAATTGTTTATCACTTGTTGAATGTATCATGGACGCACCGGAATGATTTGAATTAGTAGCTGATTTTGAATTAAATGTTGATATTATTGTTGATGATAGCGATGATTTAGTACTACCAAAACTGTGAGATGAAGATTCTTTTGATTTAAATAGACTAGTGAACGGTGATTTTTTCTTTTGTTTTACTTGATTGGCTAATACATCATTGTCGACTACATAAACACTGTTACTATGAGTTGAGGATATTGTATTTGTTGATGAGTATCGTCGACCCATTGGACGATCTGAACAATCAGGTGGTAAATGAGCAGCACATTGATGATGATAGTCTTTTCTGCACAGTTTACATCGTTTACCCTTAAAAAGAAAACAGAGAAAAAACGTTTAGAAATGTGGTTTCTATTCCATTACTGTTGATTAAGAGAAAACAAACCTGTTTTACAAAACCCCACATAAAATAATTGCATGCTTGACAATAAGTGGGTTTTTTATAATTATGTTCTTGTAATTGATGATCACGTGGTAGAACCAATGAGTCTGTTGTCGATGTCCAAATGATAATTTCAATAAAACAAGCTGGTGTCAAATCTGTATGACGTGTTAATAATTTTAGATTCGGTGGTACATGATCATGTGAAATTAAAAATAATTTAATACGTTGATTATAATCTTTTGTATCAAAATGAGGTAGTGTTGTGCGAACAACTTCTAATGCACGGTCTTGTATTTCGGTTAAAATATTTGCATTTGATCTGTTAATATGTAATGATTGATATGTAATACCAAATTTTAGACAAATTGGTATTATGTCTGTCGACATGATTAAGAACAGATATTAATGCGATAAAATAAACTGTGATGCGTCGTTGGTCATTAAATCTAAAATGAAATATGAAAAATTTTTTTTGTTATATTAGATCTGTGCAATTGTCTGGAGTATCTCGAACAATGTTGTAAACTTTAAGTATTCAAAATTCTTATTATTCTTATCTAATTTTCTGATTGAATCTTGAATACGAGAAAACATACACGAAAGTCTCTTCTTTTTTCTCCGTTCTAATCTGAAAATTTTTTACTTTTTTCAAATAGAAGATTGTTTATCATTACAAACAATTTTGATTACGTGTTCCACTGTTCATGATATCAAGTAAATTAAATTCTACCTCAAGTCGGTAAAATAATTTCCGGTACAAAAAAAAAATTGAAGAGAAAGGAATAAGTTTTGAATACCGGATGTGTAAATTATGTGTATAGTGGAGTAAATATTACATATATCCTTTAATTGATTAAGAACACGCTACTTGCTAGTATGAGAGTCAAGTACAATTTTGCATGTATTCTTTTCCTCTAGTTAATAAACAGACTAAAGTAGAACAAAAAGGACCCTGTTGGATTTCAAAAGTATCAAAGAATGCATGGATCAGATTTTGTGCAGCTCTTAACGGATCGAACAGTGTATTGGGTTTGGATTGATTCCGTGCGGTTACTGAGATCGAGGTACCCCAACAAATTTGGTGCTGGACGGATCTCATGTAAGAGCAAACACCCGAGTTCCGTGACGAAGTATGGCGGAATATTTTTTTAATCCATATTCTTTTGTAGAGCAATGGGCGCTCTACAAATTAATTTTTTCATGGACATTAGCAGTTGGTTATAGGGGAACAGGTCAGTTCTGGAAAGAAATTCGATCATATCCATATTACATGTATACAATAAAATCCTCGTAAAATCTAAGCCAGATAGAGAATCACATTCTATGTTCGTCAGAAACTGCGTGAGTGTGAACTCTATCTACTGTCTGCTGATTTAGGGGACTGAATCCACCTGTGTCTAGGGGAAGGAATATTTTTATTGGAAAAACTACTCCATAATAAGGTACCTTTCGACTTGAACTTGATTTTTGTGCTCACTTTTTTAATTAACAAGTTTTCATACCATATTCGTAATCTATGAACAAAACTACGTTGACTGAAGTATTATACATAAAATGTTTTTGATAATTTTTTGTTTTCAATACTAGCCAAATCTAAATGGCATATTTTGTTCAGAAGTGAATGTTCTACAAAACTACCTTTGATTCGCGTAATGAATATGTGTCTTCCCAGACATAGCCTTCTTTCAGGTCCCCCCTGAATGTCCTCAAAGCTATGAAATGTTTTTGTGCATTGACCACATATATAATACTTCAGTCAACGTAGTGTTGTTCGTAGATTACGAATACGGTATGAAAACTTGTTAATGAACAAAAGTGAGCACAAAAAAATCAAGTTCAAGTCGAAAGGTACCCTATTACGGAGTAGTTTTTCCAATAAAAACATTCCTTCCCCTAGACGCAGGTGGATTCAGTCCCCCAAATCAGCACGGTAGATAGAGTTCACACTCACGCAGTTTCTGACAAACATCAGAACACCAAAGCACAAGTGCGAATCAATGACGAGTTGTCTGACCCATTCGACATAGAGACAGGTGTCATGCAGGACGTATTGCTTCTCCGGTGCTGTTTAACATCTTGTTCGATTTCATCATGAGAAGAGTTATCGAAGAAGCGGGAATAACCAGCGTGAAATTGGCACGAGAATCATTTGAAGATCTGGAGATCTTGATATTAATGTATGCAGATGATCTTGTGGCAATGTGTGATAATGTTGCTGATTTAGAATCGTTTGTACGAGCATTTGAAAAAGTTACACAAGAACTTGGTTTAACAATGAACATTAAAAAGGCCTGTATAGTGTCTCTTAAGCAACTTAAAGAAGGCGATGAAATCATCAATAAAATTGTACAAGTGAAACCGGTGCACAAAAACATAAAAACATTGTACAGAAATATAAAGAATGACTGGACAAAAGAAGAGCGGAGGAGTTAGCCAAAATTCATGAAAAAACGGCAGGTATAGCTCAAATCAAAGTAACAGAAGTACTTGTCCGAAACCAGTGCAATGAATACACGTGCACAAAATGCGGAAAATCATTCAAACCGCAAGAAATTACCAACCACGTGAAATCATGTACAAAGGAGTGGTGTAAGAAAAATGGCATAACAACTGGTTAAAGAAAAATAGCTTGTTGAAAAAGCTGAGCACTAATAGTCTGACCAAAATGATGGGTACCATCGAAACTAAGTCTGTTCGTGGCTTGGAGATGATACACTGACGATATGTGTTAATATTAGTGCTCTTCGACGAACGAATGGAAAATCAACCGAAAGAACATTTTACATTCCTTTAATGCACCAAAAACTCTTGTACCTTACTTACTTTTTTGTTATCGTACCTTTTTGATCTTCACCCTACATCGAAAGGTAAGGGTCTTTTAACTAACTGACGAACATAGAATGTGAGTCTGTAACTGGCTTAGATTTTACGAGGATTTTATTGTATACATGTAATATGGATATGATTGAATTTCTTTCCAAAATGCTCAAAAGTATGTCACATACGTGTCGCGATACTCATGTATCGCGTCACGTATATATTGAAATTTTCTGTTAACAGTCACGCAATTCATTATGAAATACTGAGAACAATAATCTGAATTCGTTAGACTAAATAGTTTTGCCTTGGTTCTAGTTCTTATCTAGTCTATTGTATAAAATGGGCTGTATAATGAAAAGCATTTTTTTTTTGGCCGTGCCTACACTTTTCTGAGAATTGTGAATAAGTCTGGTCTATACAATTCTGATAATGAAAAGTTGAGAGCGGCGAGATCTTGAGTCAATACAAAATTTGAGTCATAAATGCAAGTCGAGACACCATGGTCAACCTACTGTATAAAAAAACAGGTTTTGTGTACGAAACCTAAAAGGGTATAGAGAAGTGCAATCATTTCTAAACCCTTTTAAGTTTCGTAGAAAAAAAGGTACGGTACGAATCCGTTTTAAGTGCACTGAAACGATTGATCAGTGCATTTACTTATTTTGTTACGTTTTTTCCTCATGCTTTTCTCGCGAAAAATCAAAAATTACAGAAGTTTCAGGTATTCTTTTGGCACGCTTAAGCTGCTGAAATGATCCACTTCCTTGGAAAAAAACATTTTAGAAAAAAATCGATAGAATTTATGCACTAAACGGTTTCGTACCGTACCTTTTCTTCTGTGAAACCTAAGAGGGTTTAGAAATGGTTGCACTTCTCTATACCCTTTTAGGTTTCGTATATAAACCTTTTTTTACAGAGTAGAGTTACAACTATTTTCTTTAAACTTCTCATCATTGTGAAAACGTGTTATCTCTAGAATTTCTAGAGAAAACAGAGTGATATTTGACGAGTCACAGCTGTTTACTTACAACATTGTCTCTTACAGACAAATTCAAATTCAAATCTGAAAAATATCAAATAATTTTTTGATAATACAGTTGGAATCTATGCATGATATGCCCGGTGTTAGTGAATATCAGCATAGACAACCTTGAGACAAGAGTGGTAACGCAAAAATACAACAACTCAATTCTACCGTCTTCAGTTTATCTTAGCTTATTTTTAAGGAAATATAAGCAAAAATGTATGCATTGTTTAGTATGTCTTTGGATTAGCTCCAAGAAAACATGAAGAGTGACAAGACACGTCAAGCCTTTCACACAGTTTCTATGACGGCTCCGTATAAGCTTCTTGCAGTTAAACCACTCAGTTGTCGAAGAAAACGTTGTTTCAACGGGATTGCTTCATCAAGCTTCGAGCCTCAATGAAGCATGTCGGGAAAGTTTTCGATTTTCTAGCTAAACATTTTTGAGGAGTTTCTTATATAGACTTGCAGTCGCAAAACAAAAAGACAGATTAAAAGAAAATAGGAAAACATTCAATGCAACAGGTGACAAGCCGCATTCGACCAGAGACACATTGTAAGACATAAATGTATCTTCTGTAGAGGCACTACTGAATATCGCCCGTTATACAGCACATGTGACATGTTTCAGAACATATTCCATGTGCCGTCGTGCATGCTGTTTCAAATGTGTCGGCTGCACCTAGTACATTTTATTTATAGCCGAAGACGAAACATAGATTGCGTTGAAAATCGGACATTTTCCTCATTTTTCATTCAAAAATGTCAAAAAAATAACTATTACTCAAATAGTCTAATACTCTACTGTCGTATATCTCAACATTTGTTAAAATTTCAAATCATGAATTTATTTTGATGTTTTGTTTTGAAAACTCCAATGTTTCCAACAAGCTATTCTAACCTTTGAAAAAGAAAACTTTTTGACACATTATGACAGATAAGAATGAGAGCATAGTATAGTGTTTTTTGTATGTAACTCAACAAAAACATTCCTCCCTCAAAACCAATGAAATTCGGTCTCGACATCTATTTTTAAACTCAAACTCAGTCGTCTACTAATATATGCCAAAACTTTTTAATTTGCTATAATATTTGACTTGGCAAATCTAAGTATGTCCAAAGTTTTATTCATAATTGTCACTAACGAAAAACGTTATCTCAAAATTTGAGTCAATACGTAGAATTAAAGCCAAAAGTAATAAAAACCATGATGCCGTGACTTTTCAAAAGTTTTTTTTCCACTCAGATCGTTTTATTCACTCAAAATTTCTTGTCACCTGGAATTTATTGTTTGGGTAAATAGAATTTTTCGAGAAAGTTGGTGACATTCCATGGAAGTAATAGATAAACACAATACACTCTTCTTCTTTTTTTTACAACAACGGGATTGTTGTAAAAATAAGAGAAGAGAAATAATAAGAAAATAGCGTAACTGGTTCTGCCTTTTTCAAATATATATTTGTATGTGAATTGGGTAAACATAATTAAAGTGTGGGAGAAAAAAAATGAGAAGAACGTTAGAATTTGGCTACATAAGATAGTTAATCTTACTAAAACACATGTAAAAAATACCTAACAGAAATAGTACGACGAGTTAATAAGCATATAAATATTAATAAATCAAATTCAAGTGTTTCAATCATTCACAAAAACATTGACTACTTGTTGAAAAATTTACTACTTAGGCTTCATAGATTTATATTAAACATAGAAAAAAAAAAGAGAAAAAAAAACAAATATTAAACTTGAACTAGTTCATGCATCATTCATATTTTATTTATAAAAGAAACGTTTCATTTTCATGTGTTAAAAATGAGAAGACTCGATTACTCTCTTTTGATTGTTTGTATTCTATCAAAACCTTTCTTTTTCTTCTTCTTCTGTAGATAAGGATATGACTAGTTATGATTCAGATTAATGTATGTTAACTCGAAAGATGAAAGAAAAAAGAAATTTACTCATAAACGCATCAACAAATGATTAGTAAAATATAATTGAAATAAAATTGAAGATAATTGAAATCGTCCACTAGTATGACTTTATCTCGTGTTTTGCAAAGGTTTAATTCAACTTTTACAAAATCTTAATGTATCAAATTCGGATTATAACTTATCGAAAACAATAACTCACCGATTTTGTATACGCTGTCTTTATTTGTCCAAGAAAAAACGTAAACGTGTAAAGATTCCGAAATGAGAGAGGATTCAAAATGTTTGCGTTATTCTATATATATTTTTACTTCTAACGAAAAGAAAACAGATTATTATAACGTTTTAGATATTTTTTCTCATTCAATATGAAACTGAGCGAAAAGAGAAGAAAGAAAGAAAAAAATATAATTCATGGACCTGACTTTTTTATCATAAAACATGAATGTATATTTGGTAGACTATAATAGACTAATGATAATAGAAAAAAAAAAAATAATAATAATTTTGTACATATTTACGTATACGTCATATTTTTTTTTAAAACTATCACTAATGTCAAACCATAAATGTAAATTATTTTAAAATAGAAATTACAGAATTATCTAGAATAGTCTAGAACTATATAATTTTATCTATTAAATTATATGTCTTTCTTAGATGTGTAAAATATTTAATCTCTAGAAATTACAGAAGCACGTTAAAACTGTCATAGAATACTATCCTTTTTTTTGTTTCATACTATTTTTCTATGCTTTCTAAATCCAACTTCTATAAGGAATAATGTCACTTGTGAACAGTTTTATTAGACTAAAAGTAATATATAGGAACAACGAGAGTTAAAAGTAGATTATCTTATAACTATTATCATGCGACAGATCAAGTTGTTGAGAAAGATGATATTTGCGGTTCAAGTGTATTGAAATCGGATTTGTTAAACAAAAAAAATGGTGTCACGAAATTTTGTTTAACCACGATAGAAAACGTTTTATCCGACTGATACTTGCGAAATAACGTGTACAGACAGAAAAATTCATTTTTTTCAAGAACTTTTTGTGAACATATCTTCAGTATGAAACCTATAAATTTTCTGACAGCATCCTACGTATATTCTATGTTTTTAAGATCCTTTCTTCTGCGAAAAGTCTATACTCATGTGATGTGAAAAATTATCACACGAAATTAATGCTGCATTTTAACGTTCATTCTTTTTCTGTCTAGAAGTGACCAGAAAGAAAAATTATTGGAATACATGCAATTAAAATGTACCTTATTAAATACGGTATCGAAAAATTGTTTTAACTAACATTAATCTGAAAACCTTTTTATAATGAAAATCATCACTCGTTTGCCTGTGAAATGAAGCTACACAATTTTGCTCTTTTCTGATTGAGTTTGAGTCATTTTTGATGACACCAGTGGAAAGAGCATCGCATCATAACATGAGTAGAACTAACGCATTTTTAGTTTCAAAACTTTAATAGATTTTTTAATTTACTTTTCTGTAGAACTCTGAAAGATGGTTAAAAACCAGTCAAAACCAAGAACGAAATGTTTTTCTTCTATCAAGTGTAAAAGAGCAGAATTAGATCTACAAAATGAAGGTTTGCGCCATTCTCGAGCGCAGGGAATAAATAGACTGACTAGGAACGGATACAAAA